ATTATTAGGGTATAAATTCTAATAATAATAACAACATTTTAAAACAATTAAAAAAAAATTTACCAAAAACCGTGTGGTCACGTGGTAAAAAAAAAAGCCCTGTCGTTAAACCCTGTCGTTGAGCACCCTTTCCCCTAACAACCTTTCCCCTAACCTCCCCGTCCTTTAAGTTCCCTCCACTAGAACTTGGAGGACTTCCTCGTTCTAAATTTCCCCTAACCTCCCCGTCCTTTAGTTCCCTCCACTCCTCTAACTAAGTTAGATGTGGAGAATTTCAATTGGAGAGTTATCTATTCGAAGATTGGGAGGTCTTTTTCTTTGAAATTTCCCCTCCCCGTCCTTTAAAAAGGAGTCACCCCACTCACCCATTTACCCATTTCATTCCCCGTCCTGAAGCCACGCACCCATCAATCACCCATCCCATCAGCTCCCAAGATGAGTCTTCAGCTTCTGAGGTTAGTCACATATACATATTTGCCTTTTTTATTTCAAAAAATTTATATATAAATTTTTATTTGAAAAAATCACATCCCATCACCCATCAGCTCCCAAGATGAGTCTTTAGCTTCTGAGGTTAACACATATTTGCTTTTTTATTTCAAAAAATTTATATTTAATTTTTATATGAAAAATAAAAAAATAAAATAATTTTTTTATATGATCAAAAAAATGTTTTTTAAAAAGACAAATTTATTTAAATATAATTTACAAGGTGCCAGTGGCGGAGCCGGGGGGTGCGAGGGGAGGCGCTCGCCCCCCTGAAATTTGAGAATCTTGCAAATTAGCATAGGAAAAATTATTTAATCCCCCCTGAACTTTGAAAATTTTAGTATTTTGCCCCCTCCGAAAAAAATTTCTGCCTCCGCCCCTGCAAGGTGCATTTTTTTTCTTATGAAAGTCACTGGTAGTATCTCAACAAAAAAAAAATCACTGGTAGTATCTCCTCTGATTTTGGTCAAACAATTGTAGTGAAAAATATTTTATTTGCAAGAAATATTTTTTATTTGCATGTTCAAAGATCTATTAATAAATATTCAGCCACTTTTTATTTCTCTATATTTCAATACATTGGGCCTGGGGCCATATGAATTATGAGGCCCAATTTTTCTTGTGGTTTTGCTTTTACAGACCGCAGGAGTTTTTCGCTGGAACAGTAGCCATATTGGGCCTACTAACATCAGCATTCAGCATTTTACTACAATACCCGGTGCTCTCCCCGCGTCAATGTTCTTTTATGTTGTCCATTTATTGTGCAATGATGATGCTATGCATTCTAGCCTTATGTGCCGATTGTAGCCCTATTTGCCTCGAGACTCTCAACTGTTGTTGTGCTCTCCCTTGGAGTAAAATTCTGAGGACTATTACCATCCTAACAGGTTCCATGGCAATCATTTCACTCCTTTTCATTAGCAAACCATTTATTGCTTTGGTCACCTTGATCGGGTGGCTCCTCCTTGCCACATACCTTATTCTCAGTCTATATCAAGACTCAAGGGAACCCACACCACCTACTACCATCTCCACGTCATCCCATTCCATCAGCCAAGTATCCAATTCTATTAATTCTACTTGATAGGATGAAAAATTGGTTCCACTGATGAACATGATTTATGATAGTGTATTTGAATTGCAACATCTCAAATTTAATATCATTGTTTATTTTCATAGTGTGTAATTGAATTTATTGTTTATTTTCATAAAGTGTAACTAAATTTAAGGTTGTGTTTTGGGAATTTGAATTTGATGAGTGTTTTAATTACCCTCATCAAATTCAATGGAGGCTTCATCTCCGTCGACGTGTGGAGAAAGTGCAGATTGAAATTAGACGCTGATGGCAATGAAGCTTCCATTGTGATTCATTCATCATCAAGTCTATTGCTGCTCTCTCACCTTCCTATCATCAGAACAGCTTCTCCAACCCCTCAGTTTTTGAACTTAGATGAGTATTTATAGGATTTCAAAAACCCTAAGTGAAATAGCTATGGGACCCACATCAAAATAATTAGGACAAATACGATTTGGCGGAAAGTCACATAAATGAATAGAATGAACACTTATGAAATTACTTGTAAAAAAATGCAACTCTTAAACCCATAATTCCACAAATGTCAATGGTTAAACACACTTTAAATATACATTTTCATGCTTTCATCACAACCCCCAACCAACTTATTGCTAGTCTCTAGCAATTCAAGCGTGAATTAAGAAATAAAGCATGCTGATCAGCTCAAAAAGACTAACTAGGTATTTAGAAAAAAAGATCACAGTTGCAATCAAGATTACTTCAATTATAACTCCCAAAAGTGTGCGTGTGAACTAAGCATAACCTTCATACCACAAACCACAATATATATAGCCGTGAGAATTAATCAAAGTAAAAGCCTCAACTCCATATCCTCACAGGTAAATAACTATTTAAGGCAAAGGATTTCTCTCATGGAGTTGGAAAATAGCAAGTCACTCAAAGGAAAAGGCCAAATTTAACGGACAATCAAATGAACTAACATTGATTAGAAGATAGATTAATTGACTATTCAAAATTCCACTACTCTTACTATAAACTAGCTCCAGGATTTCAATCAATCAAATAAGAGAGCAATAAAAGTAAAGCCTAGTGAGAAAAACTATTCCCTCAAAAGCAAGTTTGTCTTCTCAATTGATGGAAGACTTTATTTTATAGATTTTTTT